CGAAAAAACTTCGATCGAAGTTATGGAGGACTTGCGAGAAGGACAGTTCTCAGAAACAGGACTCACGAGAAGGATTTTCTGATGAATCTGTATTTAAATCGTTTTACACTGACATCGCATTGACCAGGTCGGCAAGCTCATCCATGCGATCCACTTCCTCAAGCCGCGCTTTCAGCAACTCCTTTGTTCCTGCGCTTCCAGTGGCGCCACCTAGTGGATTAATGCACACCAAAATAGTTACAAACACGTTCCACTTGATTTCGGGTTAGAGCAGCATTTGTGCTTACTCTAAACAGGTATTGGTAAAGGGTCATGCGCTGGTCGTTGGTCAGGTTTATCTTGGTTTTTGTATGGCGACTTGCCATCGACGTAGCAAGTGCAGTTGTGCAAATAAAATTCCGCACAAAATATGACGAGAAACGTCTTGGTTCGTAGATTTCTACTTCCTCTGTTCGAGTTTACTGGCAACATTTCTTTTCCAAGTGACCCCAAAAATCCATCTTTGCGCCAAACTTGATGAGCTGTATCATGTTCAAAAGAGCATGAAAAACTGGAGGTATCCTCTACAGTATTAACTGCAAAGAGCAGGGGCGAAAGTTTCACGCTCAAAAACGACAAGTTCAAATTTCTTTCAAATAAAGACGCAGAATCAACAGCTCATTTCTACATTCTTCGACTAGTTGACATGATGCCTGCACACGCGTCGAGAGATTCCCTACGAGACTAAGCTTAAGGTTGTCAATCACTTCATTCCGTTCATGGCCCTTGGCAAGTTGAAGCGTGGAGCAGTCTCATCCACGGCCGCCCTCTTTGGTCTCCATCGTGACACCGTCTCCAAGTCGTGGTCCAACTGCTCGATGCCATCGGCCAAGCTTGGCCGTGTCGGTAGGAAACGCATCTACACCTAGAGCGAAGTCAATGACCGAGTGTTACAACTACCGGAAGAGCAGCGTTCTACCTTTCGGGACATGTCTGCAGCTACTGGGTTGCCCGTCGCAACTCTGCACCGCAGTCTCCGTACTGGAACGCTCCAACGACGATCGTCACGCCTAAAGCCCTTGCTCACTGATGAGAACATTGCCGAACGCCTCCAATTTTGCCGCTCGCACGTAAACGTGCTCGCGAATGAAGCCGGCACAGCCGGCCTTCCCGTCGACCCCGAGTTTGACAGTCTATGAGATGTTGTCCACCTCGATAAGAAGTGGTTCAATGCTGAGAAGGATCGTCGGAAGGTCTACCTTGCAAGCGGCCAAACCATGCGGAACCGAGCATGCAAGAGCAAACGCTTCATCGCGAAGGTGATGTTTCTTGCCGCTGTCGCGCGACCGAGATATGACGACGATCGAGGGACAATGTTTGACGGGAAGATCGGAATGTGGTCATGCGTCAAGTACCTGCCAGCGGTGCGGAGCTCTCGCAACCGACCTGCAGGGACGTTAGTGACGACTTTGGCGAATGTGGATGCTGGTCTTTACCGTAATTATGTTTTAATCGCGTCATACCTGCCATCAACGAGAAGTTTCCATCGCCGAACATGCGCGTGGTCCTTCAGCAGGACAATGCCTCTCCTCACCGTGGCATTTCGGACGACATCCTTTCCACGTGTCAACCGATGGATGGATATTTGTTGTTCGCCGTCAGCCTCCCAACAACCCAGATCTGAACGTTCTTGATCTGGGCTTCTTTGCGTCGATCCAGTCGCTACAGCAAAAGGCCATTAGTCGCACAGTGGACGATATCATCCGTGCCACGCTTGCAGCGTTTGGCGACTTGGACTCCATGAAGCTGGAGAAAGTTTTCCTTACCTTCCAGGCTGTTATGCGGTTGATCCTCGAGAAGAAGGTGGCAATCAGTTCCAACTTCTTCATCTCAGTAAGGATGTCTTGCGTCGCGCCGAGACCCCTGTGGTCAACGTGTACTGCCCTACGTCACTTTTGCTCTGAGCGTGCCATCTTCCGCAAGAATGTTTTTAACCAATTACATGCATGGATTTCATTTTTGAGCCAATCATATAGAAATGTTGCCGGTAAAGTAGTAAAAGTGTGATTTTCAAATGTTGCCAGTAAACTCGAACAGAGGAAGTATTCACTAATTTCTATTCCAATCCGATAACTTTATCAACACATTTTGTCACCGCCTGCACTTATTACGGTACCAGTCAGAGGTAGTACGATATATTTCAATATTATGAGAAGAATAGTGATATGTCGAATATCGATATAATCCTGCGTTTGGAAGCCAATTGTGGGACAAAAACATCACGATATTCGTGATGATATCTCCTGAAAAACGGTACTCCGGAGAATATTGAATATACGACTTGAACTTGTATATTTTGCAATCCCGGAGTACCTTTTATCTGATGAGCGATAATCTTTCCACTAAGAATTATCGGATCACTATGACCGACTTTCGTCCCTGTTGTAAAATAACTTATAAAATTAATTATAAAAGTTAGAACATCAACATATCGTGACCGCCTTTCTGCATTTCAAAAAAGGAGACGAAACATTTGACAGTGCGTGCGCGCCATGAAGAAGAATGTCATGTTGTCCATTCTTCGTTGGTACTTGCTTCCTTTTCGAAGCCGCTATTGGCACGCTTGCCCCAGACGACAACTTGACACACCATTTCCGTCATCCATGTTGCGTCTTTCTCGTCAGTCCAGGATGCTCGCTCGTCCGTCATGATGTGCTTGGATCTTCGCGCGTTTTTGGGATTGCAGCATTCGAACCGAAGCTTCGTTTCGTCCTATCACATCGTACAGCCAAACATGAAATGCATTTTATATTATCACGCTATTTCAATATACTGAATCTGCATTTCAAAAAATGCAGAGAATGAGGTATTTCAATATTGTGATAATACTTTGGATGGCTTCCAGACGGGCCCTTAACTTATTTTGACTTCAAATTTCCAAACTTCAGTGAAATGATACGTAATACGAAAGATCAGGAAGAGATGTTACGTACTTCCTCTGTTCCACATTTATCGTTGCTAAGGAAAACACACTTTTTCCACATTACTATTACCAAATGAAAATCATTGGTGCTTCAAAAGGTTCACTGATATTCACTGGTTAAAATTCTCTAGAGAAGCAAAGACACAGGGCAAGTCACATTGGACATAAGAAGACCAGCGCGTCTCAATGCATCCTTCTTGA